AGATATTTTCTACGACATCAGTGGATCAAACCAGTTAAAGATAAAACTAGAAGAAAACAACTGTTCTGTAAATGATAGTCTAGAATCTGGAATCGGAATTAATTCAGACAGAGGTAAAGCAGTTTCTCATTATATTCCACTGTCTTTGCAAAGTCAGCCATGGGTTTTTTTTTATTTGGACTTGAACATATTCTAAGTTATCTTTAGATTGGAAATATAAGAATAATTATAATTATGAAGATTAAATTTGGATTTATAATATTACTGTATTGAATTATTTGAAATCATTTTTATTTACTACTTTGTAGGTAATATCAATATAACTTGTCACAATACAACTGTTTCTACACAACAACTCTGTACACAGACCAATAATACAGTTACAACCACAGCTACAAGTCCCTTAACAACTACAAGTACAACAACAACAACAACAAGTCCAGCTACAAGTATAGTAACAGAACCGTCAAATACAGCACCAACTGGTACTAATACAGCATCATCTGTAGAAATATCTTCAACTATAAAAACGTTAAAAGGAACTACAAATAGTAAGAATAATAAAACTACCAATAGTACCACAGATGATCTAGGTAAAAAGTCAAATTACTACTGTTTTTATGCTAGATATATTTGTCACTTTCTTACATTTTAAAGATATTAATCTTAAGTACATGGAAGTTTTCTCGAGTTATATAAATTGAAAAACATAACCTGCAAGCGGGACCGAATTTAGTCTTGAATTTATTATCCTACTAGAATGCTAATAATTTCACCTCATAAATATTATAGATATTCAACACATGTTTGAAATTTAAAAAATGCTGCCATTTTGAAGGGTCTTAAACTTTGAAGCTAATTCTTTTTGAAAAGATGTGTATTGTTTATATCAATATTGATGAGGTAAAATATTATGATTATAGCTTTGATACTGTCGGAATAATCTTGAAATGAAAAGTGTTATTCAGAGCCACCCGATTTATTTTGTGAAGTATAGAAAAAGTATAAAAAAGACTTCCTTCAAATTCAAAATATTACCAAATTAATCCAACATGCTTTTGATTTATCATTGATTTGCTCCTATTCATATTTAATACAATAGTTTGTTGGATTTTACTACATTTTAGGTATAGGTTTGATAGCAGGTATAGCTGGTGGCGCTGTGGTATTGATCATTCTGATTTTGATATTGATCATTTGGTAAGTAATTGTTACTCAATGTATTCCCTTCGATATCATTCTTCTCATTCATGTCTGTTATCAATTCTTACATCCTTCACCTCATTACCCGATTACCAGGTAACACGTCTTTAAGTGTTCTACACTTCCTGTCCTTACACTTATTTCTTCCTACTTATTTTCGTCATTCTCTGGTTCAGTCAAGTACCATTAGACCAAACTCTACAGACTGGATTCTTCAACATTCGACAAAATAACCTTTTTATCCTAATCTGATGACATCTGCTTTAACCAACCAAATCTTTCACATAATGACAGTGCTGGAGAAGGCAGGAATTTGATTGGTTGAAGCAGGGTTCAGTCAAAAGGTTACTTTTTAAGGATAGGGTATTATAGGCGAAAGCCTGTTCCCTTATCCTATGTAATAAATATTGTTTATACATTTATTAAGAGGCCAGTCCTTGAACAATGACTGAAGTGGCTATATTAAAAATATAAGCTAATAAACACGGAACAAAAGTTTGGTCTAATTTTAATTAGATTATCTAAGGGATCATCGTCCATTTTCTATCAAAACTCTTTTCTCATTATCGTCTCTCTCTTCCTTATTGTGTATTCATTGGCCTCAGAACACTTTCTGTTTGTAACCTTAGTGTTTACCTTGTCGAGATAGAGTCGTTAGATATTGTTTTTTAAATGTGTTGCACCGTCTTCGATAACCTTCATTCTCACCACAGATATTATGAATGTCTTCTTTACCACTCTTTGTGGGAAGGGGGCGGTATACTGAAAACGTGTTTCATCGTCCTTGTTCCGCATATTTTATAAACCAACCACGACAATTCTCAATCAGAGTATATTCCTGTTCCTAAACATCTTTTTCATTGTCCTTATCGAGATGTTAACCATTCAGCATATTATATTGAACGTCTTATTAATATATATCTTTTAGTCTTGTGAGACGTAAACGACGAGAGAAAGATCAATACGATCAACCCTCCCCAGCAAGACCTTTACCGGATGCTGGATATGTTACTGTAGACATTAGTCAACATGACAAGGATAATAATTCGTCTCCGAGTGCTGTTGTTATCGAAGATAGTGCTGATTCTGTGTCATCAAGGCAACCAGCCACAAAACAAGGAGGCGATGGTCCAATTCAAATGGAAATTATAGAGAATGATCTCTACGTGAGTTCTGATGACGTCATGAATTACGAATCGAACGATGATAGTCATATCAATGGGATACCGGAAGTCGAATATGCCGTTGTAAATAAAAAACCGGATAAGCCTTTGAAAGAGACGTCTGTAGATAGTGGTGTCTCTATGTCTTCAAATGAACCCAATAGTGATCATGACCAGAAGTTTGTTCTTGGACCTCAAGGCGATGAATATACGCTTGTTACTAAAACTTAGAAAAACATTAATGACAAGCTATTTCTAAAAAAAGAGCTCACTGATTTTTTTTACTCTCGCTGTGTACAAATGTAATCTCTGCAATTTACTTTTAAGTTTTTGTATAATTAATTTTGTTATAATTATCATTTTGTTTAATAAATATTCAGTTGAAAATACCACAAACCTCCAATGACCAAGATGGTGTCTAAATCAGAGACATGGAGTTGTAATACTTATTGCTTACTGTTTACAATCCAATTAAATGAGGTGTTTTTCAATTAAAACTTTTGACAGTCATAGAACGTGGTTGTCCATTAATCCTATGGTTAGTAAAAGGGTTAGCTTTTCATCATTATTCCTCTGAGTTGTTTTGACAATATGGAATATCTAGAAGGATTTACCAATTCACAGAACTTTTTTTTTTGACTAATCAATTTAAATTCGCATTTCATACAAATTCAGTAGCATTTAAAGTATGCTCCAGATCGATATGGTTATTTACAAGTCAGTGGAATCAGAGAAGAGGGCATTATGACGCTGTGGGGGTAATGGGTTGATAGGCAGGAACAGAAACAGGAATTCGCACTAGTCAAAGGATCTATGGAGTGTTAAGGTAAATTATCACATCTAATGTATATACAGTTTATTCTAAAAGCCAGCAATACATGTCGTGCAATACATAATTCACTCGAGTGTAAGATGTAGGCGTCTATCTGCCCTGGTCACGTGAGCGAAGCTCGTGCATGAAATATACTTCAATGAGCATGCGCAACCTACATTCATAGTAGACGTTCTGTCCAGTCTGATAGCAGACGACACATTCAATATATT